TGGATTTTAGCCTTACTAATAGCTGTGTAGTGATATCTTATTTTGTTTTTGAATTTGCAATTTTATCCTTCCATTTGATGTTGAGCATTGTTTTTTTCATATGCTTATTTGTGATTTGTATGTCTTCTTTGGTGAGGTGTCTGTTCAGATTTTTTGCCCATTTTTAAAAATTGGGCTGTTTGTTTTCTTACTGTTTCATGAATTCTTTGTATATTTTGGATACCAGTCCTTTATTAGATATATGTTTTGCTATGATTTTCTCTCAGTCTATGACTTTTCTTTTTGTTCTTTTAACATTGCCTTTTGCAGAGCAGAAAATTTTAATTTTAATGAAAATCTAACTTACCAATTTTTTCTTTTATGGTGAGTTCTTTTGGTATTCTATCTCTAAAGTTATCACCAAAAGCAAGGTCACCTAGATTTTCTCCTATGTTGTAATCTAGGAATTTTTATAGTTTTACATTTTACATTTAGCTCTATGAGCCATTTTGAGTTAATTTTTGTGAAAAGTGTAAGGTCAGTGTCTATATATATATATTTTTTTTTGCATGTGGATGTCTAGTTGTCCCAGCACCATTTGTTGAAAAGATCATCCTTACTTACTTCTTACATTTTTTATCTCTTCATATGACAATGATTTTATATTATCATTTTCTATAGTGAGAAAAGAAAGATGATCCAGACTTTTCCTCTAGCATTATTGATTAAATTTGATTTTTATTTTTGGTAACTTAGAAAATGTTCTTTCAACTTTTTAAATTGTTATGCAAACCTAAGTTCAAATTCCATTTCTACCAAATGCTAGCTACTGTGTGACCTTGGAAATGTTGCTTATACCCAGCATTAGATTCCCCATTGATTAAATAGGAGTGTTACTTCAATCCTGTGGTTCTTCTTCCATTATATCTAGAACTGCACTGTCCAATATAGTAGCCACTAGCCACATGTGGCTATTAAGTGCTTCAGATGTGGCTAGTTTACATTGAGGTGGAAATGCAAATACACATCTGATTCCAAAGATTTAGTAACAACAACAAAAAGAAATGTAAAATAGATCATTAATTTTTTCTATCGCATGTAAGTCAAATTATAATATTTTATATATATTAGATTAAATAAAATATATTGCTACAATTATTTTACCTACTTCTTTTTGCCTTTTTCATGTGGCTACCAGAGAATTTAAAATTACTTATGTTGCTCCCCTTGTATTTCCCTTTGATATCCATTACTTTACCAAGAGTAAATTAGGATTCAATTTTCCAAAAATATTTTGCACTTCCCACATAGAATGCCCCCAGTGTATATTATTTTTCTTTGCTTTGTTCTCCATGCAGAATTTGTCACCTAGAGCAAGGTAGGTGTTATTATGACCTTTTTGCCTTCCAATAAGGATATAAATAGGATTATTACAAAAATAACACAAAATACCGGGAAAGGAAGGGCTGAACTGGGTGAGGTAGCGAGGCAGAGATGGATTTATTAAGAAGCTAATGAAGTTTAAGTTTAAGCTTCAAGTCCCTTCACTTGCATAGGTTCCTTCCTGGGCCTGAAGAGCATGCTAGCAAAGTGTTCACAGGGTCTTAGCTCTTGAAAATCTAAGATATTTTCACCACAACAGGTGAAGACATTTGTTTCTTTCTACCTTGATTTTCCTTTGATCATACTTTGTGCCAAATGGCATTGGGGTGATCACAGGCATTTTTGGAATCTGCCTGAGAAATTTGAATTGGGAATACATTGAATTTGGGTTGAATGGGGTATATTTATGTGCTTTGTGAATCATTAAGTTGCTCTGGTTGTTCCGTTTTAGAAATGGCTCTCAGGAATACTCCTGCCCCTGCACTGTCGCAACGCATCAAGTGTTGGGACACCAAAGTGAAAGGTGAGAGGTGGCATCGCAATATGAACTAGTCCTGAGTGCTTGGTGGCAGAAGTACGTGGCAATGGACGAGAGAAAAGGTCTCTAAAGTTTAAAGCCAGAAGCTGGTCTGTGGAAAATTCTGCCAATCAGAGAGTAAAATCGAAGCAGAGGTTTCAATTTTCACTGATGCGTCGTTCAAAGGGAAGATCTCTTCTGCCAGGAATGTATTTAATGTTGCAGCACATACAAGTATATATTCACTTTATTTTATTTTTTTGATGGGAATTGAATGAAATTGATTTTATTCCAACTACTGTGTTTTTTAGGGCACAGACTGTGGCAGTACAATAAGCAATGAGAATGTGTGTGAAGTCACACTGTCACCAACTAGTTGCCCCGAGGAACTCAAGTGTGGGTTTAGAAGCATTTAACTGTTTTTCCAAATTGTTTTTTTCCAGTTTGTTATGTTAAGGAGATGCAGTCACCAACCACTCTGAACCAGTCCAAGCCTCACCACAAGACCCATGCCTGTGACCTTTGCCTTATTTTGAATGCTAAGATCTCTCCAGGAAGAGCTTAGGCCTTATGACCATAACCTGCAGTGTATGTGGAAGCATGTTTTCCAGCTGAGCCTGTGCAAGCAAATACCCACCCCTCTCTTTTGAATATTCATCCCTCATCCGAAATAAAAGGTCCCTGCTTCCCTTTGTTGGGGGACGCCATGACCCTGGAAATGATTTCTCCTAGTCTCCTATTTGCCACAAATGTACCTTACTTTGTGAGACAACTACTTCTGATGGAGAGCCTGATTTAACTTGCCAGGAGGGAACCCACTTCGGTTTTGGAAACAACACACACGTGGTAGATCACCATATGATTTTCAATATATAACCAGGGAGAGGATAAAAAAAATGGATGTGACATGCCTCAAAGTTGTTCTCAAAGTTTGGTGAGGGTTCTTGGGGGTCCCTGAGATCCTTTGGATAGGTCAATGAGGTAAAATTATTTTTATAATAATATAAAAACTACACTTTCCTTTTTCATTTTCATTCTTTCAAGAGTATACAGTGGAATTTTCCAGCAATTACGTCTGTGGTATTCTGACAGATGCAGACTGAAAGCACAACCAGATATGAGTATCATATTATCTTTCATTAAAACATGAAAGAGATTTCAAAGCTAAAACTGCTCTTTTCACTAAATTTTGTTAATTAAATTAACTGTTCTCAGCAAATTTTTAAAAAATGTACTTATTTTTAATTTAAAAAGTATGTTATTTGTATTAACATGTAATTTATGTATTATCGATATTTCAAAATGAATTAATAACTAAACATTTTTGATTTCATAGTTTAATTTCTACCATCAAAAATGTTTTCAAGGATCAATTACCTGATAATTCCCTTAGGTTGCTATTTGATTGTGTTGAAAGCTAAGAACAAGAAATTACCTGAGTGGCAAAAGGCCATTCTCATTCTGAATACCGGCTCCAATATTTGAAATTCTTCCTTTGTTTCGTGTCCTGGAGGTTTTCGACGCAGAGCAATTTTCCACGGTGAGATCAGTGATAGATGAGACCTAAGTCTTTCTTTTGCAGTGTGGGGAAATGAGTGACTACGAAAGGAGAGGAAGAAAAGGAGGACTGTTCTCAGGCGGCTGTGTCTCGGGAAAGTACCTATGTGGGTGTTAGGAATGGAAATCTATCCCTTAAAACCATCTGTCTGCCTGTAGCCCTTGGAAAGTCTTCAGATTCCCCCAGGAGTAGCATTCTCCAGGAAGATACCTGGTCAAGAAGGTCAAGCTGGGTATCATACACTTGAACTAATAACTTAAATATAGTGAGGAAGTATGGGGAGATGGTGTGGAAATGGGAGGACAGACAATTTCAATTGGTTTGAAGGATATTGAAAGGAAACAAAATGAAATTCTCTAGTTGCTTGGAGTTTGCAAAGCACTTTTGTGTGTTATCTGCTTTGATCATCAGGTTAACTTTGTGGGATACCTATGACAGGGGTTTTTGCCCGCATTTTACAGATTAAAAAAAGAGGCTTAGAGAGTTTTTTTTTTTTTTTTTTTTTGGTGAGGAAGATTGGCTCTGAGCTAATATCTGTTGCCAATCTTCCTCTTTTTGCTTGAGGAACGTTTCTGCCAATCTTCCTCTACTTTGTATGTGGGATGCTGCCACAGCGTGGCTTGATGAGTGATGTATAGGTCTGCATCTGGGATCTGAACCTGCGAACGCTGGGCCACTGAAGTGGAGCACGCAAACGTAACCATGATGGCACTGGCCAGCCACCAAGGGAATGTTTTTTTGATAGTTACCCAGGATATCTTTTGATAGCGCTTCTAATTAGTATCACATGACACTAATGGCAAAATATTTTTGGAAAATTGAGTCCAAATTTGCTCTCCTTTGGCTATGAAAACCTGGACCATTCATAAATATCTTACTCAGCTTCTGCAAATCTGAAACACTGTGGCTAATAAATCTTTACCACTAGTAAATCTTTAACTACTTGAAAAACTTAACATGGAATGTATTTTGTGGGTATATATTTGAGTTTGTTCCATCCTGATAGGGCTGCTCAAATACAGTGAGAAATGTTATTCAGTGTATCCACATCTTTCATTTCTTGGGGCTGTAGCTTAGTTTGTGTTAATCACTCTCACTCTCTCCCACTATGAATGAACGGCAATGGTCCAGGTTATAAATTTAAGTCAAATTAAATTCTACCTTTTACATGTGTGGAGCAAGAGTGATTTACTTTATCAATGTCATTTCTCACTCTCAGACACACCAAAATAAAACATTAAATGCCACAATTACTAGCAGCTTGAGGACAGGCCATATGATTTATAATTCTTTGTTTCCATTGTGTATTTTAGATGATAAAACATAATTTGCTTATTGAAAATTAAATTTGTGGCTCTTATGGGAGAGAGTGGGTCATAAGGTGGTTGTGAGGAAATCAGAAATTGTCCTTCCACTGCTGCATGTCCACTCCCGTGACAAGCACTACCTACTTCCAAGGAAAGTTCTAAACCTAGAGGGTCATCTACGGATCCTGAGGTAATGTAGTTTCTGAAAGGCTCCAACTCTCTTCCATTCCCAAAGAAGAAAAAGAGTCAGTTTCAGAATATGTTTTAATATACATATCTTCCAGGTCCAGGGTGGCATAATGTTACATTTCAAAGACAAACGTATCCATTTAATTATTCTTTTTCAAAAGTCAGTATTCTCTAGGAAGAATATGTTTTCTGAAATTTCAAGAAAGCTTTTAGATCAACTAAGAATTGATTTCTTCTGATTCTCTTCAGTATGTCTCACTGTTCCATCATATGATCAATGAAAAAGATTCACATGTACCACTACATTTGAGGTGGTTTAGTTGAAAAAATTGGAAACAGCTTACTGAATTCCTGGAAGAAAATAAAACATTTCTTAAATGTAGGTAAAAGCGTATTGAATTTAAACATTTTTACTTGACATCAAAATTTCTTTCCTAGGAGCAAGAGTATCAATATCAAACCATTCTTTTGTTACCTCCAAGGACATTTGGTTCTAGACATCTCCACTTGTTAAATGATTATCTTTGATCTTTGGTGTTAGAAGAGCTTATTTTTGCCACATTTCTTAAATCACATCTGACGGGAATGGCACATGGGTTCACCTACTATGTTAACTCCGGTCTATTACAGTGGCTGCTTGCAACATTAGGTTGAAAGGTTCTGAGGCTCATCCATTATTGGTGAGTAGAAAAGAGTATTATGATTGATTAACTGGGTCTGCTGCGGGCCTGTGTATGTTTGGGGGCACAGGGGGAGACAGGAAAGGGAGAGCACAGTCTGTTTCCAAATATTTCCAGCTCTGACCTAAGGTGGAATGTATGTTAGGTCAGCAATTAAATGTCTTCTTTTTGGGTTGATACATTGGGGTTGGTGGTCCAGTAAAAATATTCCCTCACATTGCCGGAATCAACTGTGAATGAACAAAGGGGTTCCCTGATTTTGTCAGGATCCGTGTTTGTCAGGGCAAGACAAGGAAGAACTCTTGTTTCACTCCGCAGGTGACTTTCATGGCCAAGGGGCATTTTTTTTTGCTGGAAGAACTTACCATTGGGGGACTTTGTGATGGTTTCCTCAGTAGTGCGCATGCCCCTCTGTATGCCTGCAGGGGTGGTCCCTCCAAAGTCATCGTCTGTGTCGCTGGTAGTTGGCAAGGGGCTCTCTGAGGTTCCCTGGATGGCGGGCTTTACTCCTCCTTGTCCTGCAGGAAGGATTCCGTTCTGGACGTCTGGAGTGGCCTGACTGGTGGGCAGGATGCCTCCAGGGAACAAGGGCTGGAAGATGAGGCCTGCGAAGATTTGCGGGGCCGCTGGCTGGAATGAGGGAAGGAAACAGAAAACGAAGTCAAAAGAACACATTGGAAGGCTGGTCAACCAGCCTTTTCTCCTTTGAGGGCAGTAAGTTTGGGCAGGAATGGCAGGATGGAGAAGGTAGAGTCAGAGAAAATAATAAAGACCGGGAATTGCTCAGAGGAAAGGCCTCCCTCTTCTGAGCCTGATTCTGGTTTCATTACTGGGCTTCCTTGCTGTGCCCCATTTCCCTTAGAAAGGGGAAGCCAGAAGCAAACCAGTCACAGGAAAAGGAATAATGCATAATTTGTTACCATCAGGTGTATCTGGAGGTAGAACCAAGGCAGAAAATCCACACAATTACAGAAGGCTCTATCTCCCTTATTGACCTACTTTTGCCCATAATTTTTTAAAGGTAATTTAGGAGACTAAAAATGAATGGACAAATTAGTTCGAGTAGATCAATCAATCTTCATCTCATGGTTTGCATCCCTTTAAGTTTCTTTTGATGTATTTTTCAAAGGCATTGGAATATTCAGTCAGAACTATTTCCCTTGGCAATTCCAGTTACTCAACGACACTCCTCTCTATCAGACTTTCAATAGTTTGCACACTGGTAGTGAATGCTGTTGTTGCCTACACTTGTTTTTTTTTTTCTGGGAAAAAAATTACTGTGAGAAGTTCCTCCTAAGAAGAAATAATTTGATGTCAGCTGGTTTTGGAGTTCAGGCAGGAACCAGTCCTCTTGGACCTTGCAGTTCTGATGGCATCTTCATAGAATAAAAAGAGTGGAGGGCTCATAATTAAGACACAGGTCAGTTTCCTTGAGTGTGGTTCTCAAATGTTAGTTTGCATATGAACCGTTTGAAGAGCTTGTCAAAAGGACACATTCCTAGGCTCCCCTGTTAGAGAAATTCTGTTGAGCAAGTCTAGGGCAGGACCCAGAAATCTGAATTATTTATTTATTTTTTTGGTGAGAAAGATTGGCCCTGAACTAACATCTGTTGCCCATCTTCCTCCTTTTGCTTGAGGAAGATTGTCCCTGAGCTAACATCTGTGCCAATCTTCCTCTATTTTGTATGTGGAACGCTGCCACAGCATGGCTTGATGAACAGTGCATAGGTCCGGCTTGGGATCTGAACCAGTGAACCCTGGGCCACCAGAGAGGAGCGCAAACTTAACCACTACGCCACTGGGCGGCCCCAGAAATCTGCATTTTTAACCAGCACTCCAAGTTGTCCTGATTTGGTGGTCCGGAACTGAAGTTTGGGAAATACTGTCTTAGATTTACAAGGCACTGAAACCAGAATTAGACTTATGCTGGAAGAGAGACAAGAATAGAATAGAGAAGTTTTCAAATTGGGGATGGTGACATCCATAGATTTGAAATAAAGAAGGTGGGTGTTGCCAATCTTTAAAAAATACAAAAAGAACAGACTATAAATTACCGAGTACATTCTATATAGTACAGGTAAATATTGTTTCATGAAACTTGTGTGCATATGTATGTGTGTGTTAGTTGAATGAAAAATGTAGCTGTTACTGTGGGTTTTACTGGAAAAGTTTGAAAACCACTGGTGTAGGGGATAGAAAAATGGCTTTTGATCTGGATTTACTCTTTTTTGACCTTGGAACCTAAGTTTCTTAAGCTCTCTGAGCCTCCGTTTCTTTATGTATAAAATTGGGCTAAAAAAATCTCTACTTTGTCCTTTGATGAGGATTAAAAGTAATGGGTGTAAACGGTCTACCAAGGTGCCCGTTATATAGAATCGGCTCAGTAACTGGTAGTTATGGGTGTTTGGGTATCATTGTTGGCAAAACATGCCCCGTTACTTGACTTTATTTATGTACAATCCAGAAAAATCTCTATCTTTTTCATAATAGAAAGATTTTTAAAAAACTCTCTCTCCAGGTATTCCCTCAAGTCTTTACTTCAGTGTCATATTTAGGTACCACATTAATTCAAGTAATTTTTCTCTAAAAATGACTTACAGGAAAATGCATGGAAGTACCTAGTAATGGTAATATGAGTTTTATTTAGGTTCAGCCCTCTACTTATTCATATGTATAGGGAAGAGTTCATTCATCACTGTAAGATGCTAGAAACATAATATATTTTCCTACAAAAGTTAAAAATTTAAGTCAAGAAAATTAATCTTTGCTGCAATAAATATCAATATGTATATTATTCTGTATCTGCATGTGTTTTAATAATTTGTCATCCTAGATTTTAATCAACACAAAGTTTAAAGATATGCCTTGGCTTTCTGGACAGAACTGAATCTGACATCAATATGTAGAAAACAAAAGCTAAGTCAAATTAATGGAAAAGTAGCTGAAGAAAGATGATGAAATCCCCAGCTAGACAAAGGACAACCCAATGCAAGGATCTACAAAAATGTTCAATTTTCTGTAGTAGGCACCAGGTTTAGGGTTTGTGGTCAAAAGAGACTATATGAGGACAGAAAATAGCATTATGGTAGCAGTGAAAAGAATTTGAAATGCTAGTAATTAAAAAATTTTGTTTTACCAATTCCTCTGAGCTTAGGATAGTACCCTAAAAGGAAAATAACACACTTTATTAGACAAATTTTAATATATTTGAGGCAATATGTGTATAAGATAACTTAAAAACTTAATAGTTTTAAAGGTTATAAGGACAGATTTTTTATTTTCGACAATATTCTAAACTGCCTTTGTGACTTGTATCACAAAACTCAAGTCAGCACGTGATATTGGACTGCTAACATTTCATATCTGAGTGATGTGAGGTCTTCTGTATTTTAAAAACTATGTATTTTTCTATTATTAAGTAATAGATGGACATTGGAGGGAACTTGGAAAATACAGAAAGCAATAAAGAAAAAAATATAATCCCATCCTTCAGAGTTTAATGTATTTTCTTCCAGATGTTTTTCACACATTTCTTCTTTACATGATAGAAGTCATGTCATATACACGATTTGTGTCTTACCTTTTCTTTTAATACTATACAGTGATCATTTAACCACATTACTGACAAATTTTAATAAATACCCTTTTGAATGGTCACAAAGTGTTTGCTTTTATGTTGTACAGTTTACTTAACCATTTTCCTTTTGTTTAAATTTAAGCTGCACTCAATATTCTTCTCTAGTATAAATATTATTTTGATGAATATATTTGTTAATAGACTTTTACTATATTTCAGATTATTTCCTTGGGATGTGTTCCCAGAGGTGGAATTCAGAGTTGATATGAATTTTATATTCGACTCTGCTTTTAGAAGTAAAAGCTGCCACTTGATGCTCTTATTTGATTTTGGTCTTTGGTAATTTTATCAGTGATCTCAAGAATTATCTTTCCCAACGGAAAATAGGGAGGGAGAAGAGAAAACATTTGATTTTTTTTTTGAGGATAAGATTTATAGTTAATAAATAAATTTGAGATTAAAAAATAAATCTTGCAAATCATTGATCATTAGATCAGCCCCATTAATTAATTTTTTTCTTAACAGTGTAGTTTAAAGAATCGACTGGTTGCTTCATCTGTGACATTTACTAACTATGTGATTGCAACTGCGTAACTGTAAGTATCTCCAGTTACTCATCTTAAAATTGAAAATAAAAATATTGTCTACCAAAGGTTCTTTCAAAGAGCACATGAAATAGTACATAATAAATAATAAAGTACTTAGAACAGGGCCTGGCATATACCAAGTGCTCAAAAGTGTTGGCTCTTGGTGACATCAGCCAGCCCTGGTGGTCTAGTTGTTGAGATTCAGTGCTTTCACTGTTCTTTCCCAGTCAAAAAAGCACACCACCCGTCTGTCGGTGGTCTTACTGTGGTGGCTGCGTGTTGCTGTGATGCTGAAAGCCATGCCACCGGGATTTCAAATACCAGCAGTGTCACCCATGGTGGACAGAGTTTCAGCGGAGTTTCCACACTAAGACAGACTAGGAAGAAGTACCCTGCCACCCACTTCCAAAAAACTGGCAATACCCTATGAATAGCAGCAGAACATTGTCTGATGTAGTGCAGGAAGGGGAGACGATGGCACCAAAAGACTGGGCAAGGTGCAGCTCTGCTGTTCACGGGCTTTTGAGGACTCAGAATTGACTCCATGGCACTAACAACAACTAGTTAATATCAGTGTCCATACAGTGCAAAGTAAACAGGAACTCAGCAACTATCTGGGGAATTGAGGCAGGATTCAATATTTCACACTAAAATGATTTCAAATCAAAATCATCTTAAAAAATAATCTTACCTGTGCTCCAAATTGTGCTACAAAAATCGGTAACATCTGGAAAAAATAGTGAAAAATTCAGTAAAAAAAAATATTCAAAGGTAAATTCTGGCAGATGATATAAATATTGAGACTTTCTTAAAAGGGTGCAGTATCTGTTGCAATGTATCATCTGTAATCATAGATATAGATTCATAGAGCTGGATGGGAAATGCAACTCATCCATTTTCTAAAAAGATTAGACCTGGAGAGATTTAAAAACCAGTCCAAGGCAGCACATTTAGAAGGTGGAATTTAGTAAATTGAATGAACAAAAAATAACTTTGGCCTCAAGCTATCTTCAAACTGAAAATTACTCCAAGTAATAATGATATAAAATGCGATAAAAATGCATGTGTTTCTTTTATGTGGCAGAAGACATTAAAACACATAATGGATATTTTAAAATAGATTTCTCGAAGCATATATATTTAGTTTCATAGTAGCTGCCTGGATATTTTGCTGTTAAAATAGAGCACTGATAGGAACTGATGAATGATATTGTTCAATAACCCCTGGCACCGGCCGAGCTCTTAGAACAAAGTGAGAAATAGCGCTATTGGTCACTGATAACTATGCAAATATGAGTTTATGGTTGAAGCAATTTGGGTGAAGGGTTGGTGTGCTGTAGTACTCTAAGGATTAACTTAGAGTTTGTCACGGATTTATTTTTATTTCTATAGAAATTCACACCGTTTCAGGAAAATCATCAAAATGGGATGTTAATACTAACCAACCCAAAAGATTTGAAGTCTTATGAAATAGACTCTTAATTTTATTACTTCCAAAGATAGTTGGTATAGTGATAACCATAATGCCAAAAGGTAAAAAGTACATGCATTTAAGAAAAAGCCTTCCTTCCTATCAGATCCTTGGCTTCTAACAACAACAACAAAACCCACTAATCTTCAGGGTGACAATGGGAAAATGGGTTGGGGAGAGGAGACACTCGGGTTTTGAGAGAAAACAAAATAGAAATTTCTTCTTTAAAGGGAAGTTAGAAAGAGCAAAAAGATACAAATAGGAAAACACGGATGTCTAAGTAAAAATTGTGATGAAAGATAATTTAATTGTTCACCAATGCAACAACAAGGAGAAAAGTTAGTATTAGTTGAAGATAGAGAATTTATTTGAAATAATAATACCTGGCACTTATTAAGTGTTTACTATGTGGTGGGCACTATTCTAAGTGTTTTGCGTGTATTTACTGCTTTAATCCTTATCACAGCTCTAGAGGTAGGTTCTACTTTAATCCCCATCTTAAATTATGAGAAAAGTGGGCCATAGAGCAGTTAAGTAACTTGGTCAACATCCCACAAGTAGTCAGTGGAAAGTTGGAATTTGACCAGAAGTTATATAGTTCTAGAGTTCACTCAACTACGTTGGCCTTGCTTTGATAAATTAGAGCTACAGAAAGGTGACCAAGTTTCTGACAGGGGACGTAAGCCACTCTCTGCCTAAGGAAAGGCAAGGTCAGAGGTTACTGGGGTTGTATAGGACAAAGTCAAGTACAGGAACCTTTGGTGGTGGCATAGCTGGAGAAACTGAAGGATCCTCACCAAAAATGGGGATTCATTCATATTATTGCATGTTGGGGAGTGTGTAATGTCAAACCCTCTCCATTGAGCCTGCAGTCATATCTATGGTGCCCACTAACACTTTTGTCTGGAACGGATATTCTTTGGCAAATATAAAGTTGTACTAAGTCTGACTTCAAGGGTCGAGCAGGGTAGCAATTGAGCCTGGATCTGGGCAGTTGACGTATAGATCACACCAGGATCACATGTTAAAGAGATTCTCATTTTATTTGCCCGTCTCTCTAGCCTTTTTCAGAGGATCACTTTTACTATTAAGGTATAAATAAGCAGCCAAACTTTGAGTGAAGCCTCTAATATATCTGGAAGTAGTAAGAACTGACTGATAGACAAAGATACATTTCAATTTTAAAAAAGAAATGTACAAATTAGTTATGTTACAAAACTTCACAAATATGAATAAATGAAGCAGTACAGAGATTTTTGTGTTATTTTGAACAAATGAAGGTATAAAGTATTAGTTGCATATGACATGGAATTTAAATTGAGCAGCTTAAAATTATGTTGTCAATTAAACTCAGACTTCATTGTAATTATTAATTAATACAAACTTGCTCTTATTTAAAACCTGGAAGTGTACATCATACAGGTAAGAAGATGGTTAGGATATATTGGTCTATGGCTTAGAGAAGCAAATTCTGGAAAAATAAACCCAATTTTTGCAATACAGTGAAATACTAGGCAATCCTCAAAAACAATGCTGTAAGTGAATATTTCAAACCGCAAAGACTATTCAAATTCCCTATAATTAACATATGTATGTACTAAATAATAAAGCTACAAAAAAAGAGAACATTATGTGGGAAAGATAGGGCCTGAGGTCACCTGATGGGGAGAATAAATTGTCCATAATAACTAACTTAGTCTATTCATAAAGGGATCATTATATTTTTCTCCAGAGACTATTAAGCTATTTAGAGAAATTTCATAAGGTAAAAATTTAGGCTTTGTCCGTAGTTAAAGATGCAAACACTTCCAAAAGGAGTGATGCTCTAAATGTGTCATTTAAATTTGAGTGTGAGAGGGTTTTCCAGGATTTTTCCTGAAAGCAAGTAATGATGGGAGGAGAGAAAGTACTAGAAAGCCTTAGGGACTTGAAAGACAGCATGAAAAAAGGGCACAAAACCAAGAAGATTAGATTTGCTGCAGATAAATGATCCACTTCTTAATTTTTCTTGGAGATGATTCTGTCACCCAGAAAGTCTTCAATAGAAAGCACAGCATGCTAGAGAAGAATCCCGACACCTCTTGATTTCGCCCTTTATATTTTTTACTTTTCAGTATTCCCGAACTTTTCACATTTTCTGTTACCCATTACAAACAAGTTCTAGAGAGGTTAAGGGAGAGCATGCTTAGTTTTCTGGGTGTGTTTTCATGGATTTTCAGCAAGAACCAAATTGCCGAAGATAGTTCTATGTTTGTAGAATATCCACCTGCAGATTTTCTGGAGGAAACTTTCAAAACCTTGAAGAGGTTCTTTTCTCCGCTTTAGGCTCCCATCTGAGTGAGAATGCTCCCCAATGTAAACTGAGTCCCCTCATTGAACTTACCTGTGACTGCAGCTGTTGTTGTGCCTTCAGACCCCCCAGGGTCAGTGGGAGGGTCTGGGCACCAGGTGCCACTCCTGCAGCAGGGTTTAGCTGTAGGGCAATGAAGATTTTCATTGTGTTGTTTCAGTTGAACATTCAGGAAACCAGAAGGTATTTGCTAAATGTAAAACACGTTTAAAGGGAGGATTTGCTATGTAAATATATAGCATACTCTTGCATTAGGAATTAGATATAGAAATGAAGTTCAAAGACTTGTTTAGTCTACTAGTATCACAAGGTCAGACTAACTTTTTACCTAGTAGGTTTTTCTTCAGCATTTGACTCATTCTCTTTGAAAATCATTTAGGTGATTTTATCCTCACCTTTCTCTTTTGCCTATAGCAGCAATGGTTCCTGGAATTTTTCTGATGGTTTTCTTCTGAAGAAATGAATTCCTTTGTAGGCATCCCCATGAAAATTGTGAGGGTCGGAATAAAATATCTAGTTTGAACATGGGATAATACTATATTTAAGTCTGACCACTGGAAAAAAGTCCACTCTAATCAGGAAAGATATTTTCATCCCCCAAACAGATTAAACTATACAGATATTATATGAGAAAATCAAAAATCTTCCTAGCTTTATTAATTTGCTCTTGTTATTAGGGTGATGACAGTGGTCGTAGTGTTTGTATGGGTGTACGGGTGTTATGGGGCAGTGAGGAAAATATGTGGGAGGAATGAGGAGAGAAGCTTGGAGAATAGGTGAGGAGAACTAAGACAGTAAAGACTGGAGAATTAGATTAATTCCTTTGGAGATTCTCTTGCCAAGAAAAACTTTTTTGATGTATTGAACAGCATTCGACTTCCTTTGGCTTTTCTCTGTCTTCTCTCTTTCAACTTATCTACAATGAATATGTGTGTATGTGTACATCTGTGGATACACACACACACACACACACATGCTCAGCACTAGGTATTATATTTATTTAACAATGGATATTAAAATGATATAAAAGAGTACTCACCAGTTGCAGATCTGACCCCAGTTTGAGCATCTGTGTCAATGGTATTAGATTTAAAGAAGGGAAGACCTGCAAGGCATTGAAATTGATGCATGAGACAAGAAGTTGTCTGTTTCTACTATGCTGTCAATGGTGGATATCCTCAAGTAACCTATATTCCCATCAGAGGTGGATTTACCATGGATCTAAGTGAAGGTGAAGCTTCAGGTCCTCTCACTAGCATTGTCCCCTTCCATGGCCCTGGTGAGCGCCCTGGGAATGTGTTGTGTTTATGGTAGTTCTCATCTTAAAAATGTGTAACTCACTTACTTCTTATCTCACTATGAATTTTTCACTTTAGTACTTAATTTTACATAGCTAATTTGATATTCTTTTTCTAAAAAATGGTCTCCAAATTGTATAAGCTTCAGGTTCCTGAAGAAGTGAGATTGGCTCCTGACTTGAGTGTTTTCTAATGACCGTGGACTAAAAAGAGCGTGTTAGACTCTGGTGTTAATTGAACTGTTTCACAAAGTCTGGATGGAGGTAAGGAGAGGTCCTTCAGAGCAGAGGAGGGATAGGACTGGGAAGAAGGGTAGTAGCCAAGAGACAAGGCAGTTTTCAAAAGTATTTAAATATTCTTCGAAGACACACATTTTACAGTAACACATCAGTTCATCAGCAAAAAAAGAACTTAAGAAAACCTTGAGGAAATCTGCAGTTATTTTTAGAGATTACCTCTTAATTCCTGCCAGCTCTGGGAATATCACATATGAAACGTCACAGTATTTCAAGGGCATAGACGACCAAGCTTTGTCAATAGGTGTAGCTGTTGCTTTTCAGTTTACCAGATTTGCTTGCTAAACCAAATTATTATTTAGACAAAAGGAAAAAGAATGAGGATGATTTGTTTTCCTGGCTCAAAATTTTCAGAAAACTGTATTGGTTTTTGTATTTTTTTCTCCCCAAAGGAAAGCTTCTCTCTCTTGTTCAGTCACGAGACTCTGTGTAAATTTTGACTTCCAATCCACTGGTCTGCAAATGTTTCCTCTTGTGGGACTCTTACCTGATTTGGCTGCTGTTGGTTTAGTTGTGTTGCCTGATCCGGAACCGGCTTTGTGGGAGGAAGTCCCAAAGCAGGGAACTGCATCTGTGATAACAAATATTTGACAGAGCAGGGATGTGTTTGAGGTTTCATATCCATTTACTTCCAGGAGATAACAAGTTGTACCCAGTGCAAAAATGTCTATCTTTAGGCTCTGTGTGTTTTGGAGGAGTTTTAATTCCCTGGAGCATTTTGTGCATGATAGGAAATGGAATTGTAGAGTGCAAAAATCCCAGACAAGGAGGCGTGTGGTGGGGAGGGAGAGAGGGTGGGGTAGGGCACGTAGATTTCCAGTGGTAGCTCCTAGGCTCACATATTTTTCCTTTAACTGCCTTCCTCCTTTTTCAGGGTGTGAAATACATAGTCTGCACCTTAGCTGTGTACACATTTGCTTTTCCTGATGCTTGAAGATAAATTGCCATAATCTCTACTGGATTTTCGTGGAGCTTCCTGCTTTTGCCTTTTGCCTGACAAGTCACTTCCTGTAATGGAAGTTCAGTCCCTTTCCTGGCCAGGGTATTTTCCTGGTGTATTAAGAATCGCCGAATTTAAGGGGTGAAAATGTCCTTGCCATCCATATGATCTAATTATATGGTTTTGTTTTATAAATGAGGAAACTGAGGCCCAAAGAAGTAAAGTGACATGCCCAAGGTGACATGGTGAGTGGCAGAGCCAGTACTAAGATCCCTGCAGGTGCTCTTGGTCCTTGAAGAAATGGATCCTTCCATAAGCTTCTCTCAGCAGTTCCTCTGCATTCAGGTGGAAGCTCCCTGGCCAGGTTGACTCTCATCAGCCTTTGCTCTTGGCTGCATCACAGAGGACAGTGTGGTGTGGCCCTCCAGCCCTGCATCAGCCCTGGGGTCACTTGGATATACCCTACAGCTGCCACTGACTCTTGGTTTCACTTTGGACTTTTCCCTCAGTTGTAAGAAGCAAGGCTGGCATTATCCGTCCTTAGAGGTCCCTTTAAGGTTTAAGGTTGGGTAAGAATAAATTCTGCAGATAGGTCTTTTTATCCCCCACAATCTATTGTCAGCGTCACAGCCCGAGTGGTCCTTTGAAAACAACATTCTGATCCTTTCACTCCTCTGTTCAACCCCTCCATTGACTTCCATTTTCACTCAGAGTAAAACCCAGAGAGCCTACCACGGCCTACAAGACCTCATGCCCTGGGCCCCACTGCATCTCTGAGGGCCCACCTCATTTCCTCTCACTCACTCGACTACTGCCATCCAGGCTACTTGCTATTTCTGGGACAGATGAGGCTCACTCTTGCCTCAGAGCCTCACCTCCACTTGTTCCCTCTGTCTGGAATGCTCTTTCCCCAGCCATTGGCTCACTCCTTCCTCTGCTTCAAGTCTTTGCTTGAATTCACCTTCTTCTTGAGGCCTACACTGGCCACTCTTCTGAAGACGCAACCTGCCCCATCTCCAACGTGCCTCCTGTTGCCCAACTTTTGATCTACTGAAAACAATCACCAGGCTGTCTTGCGTCCATACTTGCAAATTGATTCATTTTTTGTGCTTTTATGATAACTCAATAAATTCATTTACAAATAATAAAAAAAACCCTTGTCAATGTGTCCTGATTTTCATTTGATAATTGCTACTGTACCTAGTAGACATTTTAGTGCCACCTTCACATCCCCTGCAACCACTGCCCTCCAGCAGGTCTCATGCTGTTGGCTATCAGCAATCTGCGTTAACCTACATGCTACTCCTTTGTCCACCTTGAGTGATAGCTGTGCTCCTGGAAAGTTTTATTTACCTTGAGTTTTTACAAATTGTACGATAATTTAAGTACACTAGAGACACCCTAGTTAGAAGAAACTTTTGGTAAATTTATTTGGTAAAGTGCAAAATCCGTGTTTAAAAGAAATTAACCTCCTAACTAACCTTGTTTAGAAATTAAATTTTTGCAGACAAGTTCTTTTAAGAAGGGCATATATATATTTGGAATGAAATAAGAAGGCAGTTGGTTATTCACGTCTTGTTCCACCCTCTCTCCATTTTCTTCACAGAACTAATCACAGTTATAATTTAAAGTTTCTTTTGAAAAATTGTTCATTAGTATCTACAGTTTTTTGGCTCTGTCAAAATAATTGAAATTCTATTATGATAGTATGCATGCATTTAAAAGATGTAAGTACATTGAAATTTGCACTAGCACCTTATTAGTTTGTCATCTTTCACCTCGGAAAATAAAAACGGGAACCCAAGGGAATGGGTCACAGAACAGAGCAGTTTTGATGGAAGGCAGGAAGAGAGAGAGGTCGACAAGTAGAGATATTGCTAAGGCTAGTTGGCACAATAAAGAAACATATTGCACTTACTGGTAATGACAGAGTTGACCCAAGAAGACAAAATAGCAGAATCACAGTCTTCATGTTTCAAATTGCTGCCTGTAACAACAAAATTGTGTTACTCTTTCACTCCATTTTTTTTTCTTTTGAGAGAAGATGATGCTTGAAAAAAAGATTGCTCTATTTGAAACATGGTCAATTACTGTACCTTTCTGTCCACTAGGCAAAATGTACAGGTAAAACAATATTCAAAGTCCGGTTGATTTCTCCAGTTTCTGTGGAATTTAAACTCAACTCTGGGAGGCTGGCAACTGAGAGACCAATCAGGACTTAGCTGTCAGTGAAATCATTTGGTTTCTTTCACTTCCCAACACTTCATTAGGTGAGTTATTAGCCATAGACATCATATTACCCAATGTCTACCGTGTGAATAGAGGGTGTTTCAGAAAGACATGCCTTGTGTAATTAAAAAAATGCAGACAATAAAAAAATTACAATCCTTTTTCATCTCCAACTCCTTTCCGAATGACTTCTCAGATGTACCTGTTTTATCATGTGTGTATGAACACGTAAATCAAACATCAAAATATACTGCTTGGTGTATAGTTAAAAAAATGAGGCCTGTTATGTGTATTGCTCTGCAACTTACTTTGTTTACCTAAATAATGGACAACTTTATGTGCCAGTACATATAGATTTATTTCATATATTTAATGGTTACATTATATTATATTTCCTTTTGATGGACATTTAATCCATTTCCATTTTATTTTGTAATTATAAAAGTTGTACAATGAACATCCTTATAAAACTGTGTTTCACACATGTGGGAGTCTTTCTGTAGATATTATTCCTGGAAATACTGTATTAAAGGATATGTATGTTTTAAATTTCAATAAATGTGGCCAAATTGCCTTCTAGAAATTGAATGGTTTGCTTTATTGTAACTGGAAAAAAGAAACTTGGAAAAAGATAACCTAAGCAAAACACAGAGGTCCACTGGGGTTTCTTTCACAAAATAGCCTGAAATACTAACTGTAGGTTTCCAGGGCCCTGGGCTTCACCTGAGGTTTTTGAGATATGCCACCTCTTTAATAATGTGTTTATGGAGGAAGGTGGGGTCTCTTCAACAACTTCTGAGCCCAAATCAGTGATGAATCTGTGTCATGCTAGGATTTCATGTGGAAGGCCACCTTACATTTGGCTTGTCTTAGGGTACAGAATGTCTGTTAATGGAAAATTGTCTGGAACAATGAGGTGTTACCAAAAGCTTTTCTGTAATTATTCAATTCATCACCCAATCAACTTTTGTTACTGTCAGATAGGAAAGGGAACACTGTCTAGGCGGGGACACACAGAAGTTAACAAGTAATGATACGCTCGATAAGTGCAACACTAGGAGTATTCACATGTATGAAGGAAAGTGTGGTTAACTTTGTTGGGGGCAGAAAGGCAGATAAGGCTCAATAGAAGAAGTGACCCTTGAGCTGGGTTTTGAAGGATAAAAAGAAATTCATTACGAATGCAAAGAGAGCATCCAGGTAGACCAAGTGTCTAGACATGAAGGAGTGATGTTGCTCCCTGTCACTGGAACAAAATGGGGGAGGGTAGCAGTGGAAGATGAGGATGGGAATATACCTAATTTTAATCACCTGTAGTAGTTTTTTGTTTGTTTTTGTCACTCATTTTGGTTTTTGATCAGACATTATCTTATACGACTCCTTCATTACTTCCTGGTTGCACGTTTCTCTTGAACTAGATGGAATGTTCGTTGGGCCTTGTCCTATATGTCTTTAGTATCTTCCATGTTAATAATATTGCAAAGCACCAGATGATCACTGCATGTTGATGAATAAATGGTAGAGGTATATACTGTAGGGAGTTGGAGCAAGGTTGTGTTGAGGCAAGACTTCAGAGGAGAGATGGGGCTTTAAGTGGATTTGAAGAAGGTATCTGATTAATGGGACAGAGAATAGCATGGTAAAAGGAATGATGGTGAAAGGAGCCACGGAACGTAAGTGCTGAAGGGCGTGGAAGGGAAGCAACTTTGTTCATGTTCTCACAGGCTTTCATAAACACATTCGTTAATTTTTTTATTCAGTCAGTTCATTCTATCAACTCATCATTTAGCATATATTCACTGTATGTTCTCCTACCATTGTTTCAGTCCCTGGGAAGAAAAGAGTGAATGGAAGAGGGACAAAAATTCCCGCCCTCATGGAGCTTACATTTTGGTAGGGGAAGCATTAAACATTCAAGCAGCCTCATTGTGTGGGAGGGAGCCCCTGACACTGGGGGATCCACTTTCGCCTGGGCATTATTTTCAGTGGATGTCGAGGGGGAGGAGCTTTCTTTAACATTTATTTTTCTTTTTGGTGGAGGCAGAGCTGAATTGTATGCTGCTGTTGCTCCTGGCCTTAGGTGAGGAGACTTGTGTTCTTTCTGCAGCCGAGAGTGTGGTGCTAGCAAATAGCTCATTGGAATTGAATCACTGTTTGTGACTGTCTGAGCTTCGGGTGATTCAGGGAACTGACGGTGCAGTTATGGGTCCAGCTCCACGTGGGAAGGGACACGCCCTAGCTTGGAACTGAGCAGTCCATGGGATTTGACCCAAACAAACAAGAGAAATTAAGAAGGCTGAGTAATTTCTTAGACGAAAAATTTTAAGTCTGAAAGCAGCTAACTTGCAATAATATAATTATGGAGTTGGGTGTCAAGAAATGCATACTATAAAAGGGAAAAAATTCCTAAATCCCAAAACTGAGAGACATCAGCAAAAAAACCCTACAAAAACCCACAACAACCTGTGAGGTAATCTCTTTTTCTGAAATGACTTAGGTTATCAGGACTCATTAAAGTGTTTCACGAACTACAGGTGACATCTCTTGGTGTGTAGGTCTACACATTTCTTGGTCTTGTCTATTGGTTTTAGCTTTAAGTCTGTTTGGATTATAGGCCCTTTTGAGAATCTGATTGAGTCTACAAACCATCTCCTCAGAAGAATGCACGTATGCCCACGAACACAATGTATAGCAGACAACTTCAGAGGTTTCATGGGTCTCCTGAGAGCCCAACTGTGAAGACCGGGTGAAGAGTCTCTGGTTTAGAAGAATCTTGGTGGAAACCTCTCATGATTTGTGTGATCTCTGAACTTTCTAGGATTTCTCAAGCCAAGTAATGTACCCTCTCCCCACCTCCATTGTACCTAATGGGTATGGGAAGATCTGGAATTACCCAGACCCAAGGTACTCTGTTCGTGAATTCCAGCCTAAGAGGACCTGTTTGGCAATAAAAGGATAAGGCAGACTGGAAACCTCTCTTTCCTTCCACCACTTGCTAATTCAATTACAACGTTAAAAGGATTCGAGATACGTGATTGATATTAATTACAGTGATAGATTGAATAAATTAAGTAAATTAATAATTGGTAAAATTAAAAAGCAAAATTAATAACTTCGGTTAGCATTCCCCAATGCATGGTAATTCCAATGACACCTATTAAATGTAGACCTAAATCGTGTCAGGCCAGGCATTGTACTAGATGCTAGGGTGCAAAAGTGCGTAAGGCAGAATCTCTGCTTACATTCTGTGGGAAATTCAGCAAGTATCCAATCACTGTATAATGTGCAGGTGAAATGGAAGAATGCTCTAGAGGCCAGGAAAGAGCCTCAGTGCATTTTTGTCTTGTTTCTCTGCACTTTTTCATGGTATTCCATCTCCCCAGAGTCCTCCCTTTTGTCTCTGGCCGCCAGTGTTCTATTCATCCTTAAAGATCCTGCTTTATGCTACAATCTTCACTTAGTTTTTCTTTCTTCCTCTGATTTGGAGTCAGCCTTTTCCTTCCCTGACACCCTATTGGAATTCGTGACTTTCTTATTTCTTTCATTCTACCTTGGCTGGTGCTACTGTTATTTGTATTCCTGTTTTGAGAGATTAGATTCTAAGGAAGATCCTGTGTCTTGCTCACTTTTGTATTCTCTGTAGCACCCAGCAAAAGATCTTGCATGTGGTAGGTCAATAAATATGAGTTGAATTGCAGTAACACCTGCTTGACTTCGTAAACTTACAAAATTCTTTGAAGACGTTGGCCAGTTTGTGCCACCCCAGAGAAAATTAGAACACGTGCTTGGAAACCCGCAGGAGAGCCGCTTTCCTCAGGAGTGGTTTGGCGAATGCCAGAAGGCATGCACTAAATTAGGTATATCTAAAACGCTACTAAATATTATAAAACTATATAGGTTTTTACCAATCTTTTTGAAGACTAGGTATCAGGAAAATATGTCCGCACATTTTGGCATAGTGGGTTGGCCCTTGGTCATAGGTGGTAAAGTTCTGTATATAACATCATTAAAAACACAGGATATATTATACGAAATTTCCACATTCAACAGAGTTGAGCTCAATAGACTGTGGTCACATCGTACTCTGTTATTGTAAAGAAAAACTCACTCAATTAAAAGTACACACTTTTGGATCTAAAAACATGGGCTTGGTTGTAGGTAATTTTTCAAAATGGGAAAGAATGTCCTGCAAATGGCAATATACAAGGATGCTGAGGGGAGGAGTAAGAAATGCAGTATCAGTGTAAGGGAATAATTCATGCTTTCAGTGTCTGGATGATGGTATGGTGGTTTAGATAAGGTTTTGGAATGGTATTGGGTAGTCTCAGAGTCCATACAATATTGCCAATTGGGTAGTTACTTTTAGTTTTGTAGAAGTAATCAGGAAAATACATGGTTTCGAAGTCAAATAGGAGGTCAGTACATGATTCTGTGGTGCCATCAGGAGATTCTGTGTTTCCACGTTAGATGCAGAGTCAGTGTAAGATGGGGTGCCATCATAGAGAGATGCTTTTGTTTCAAAGTAATTGCTGTAGGTGCCAGTTTCTGGGCTATTGTAGGATGGAGTGGTTTGTTTTACGGTTATAGCAGATGTTAGTGTGGGAATTACGGTCAGAGCCGAGTTGCAGATGTGCTCTGGTGGTGGTGGTAAAAGTTGCTTTAGAAGAAGTGGTAGTAGAGGCGATGAAAGTTACAGTGGGGGTTTGTGTTTGAGGGTGACAGCATGAAAATGAAAATATCCGGATGTGGGTTTGAATAGAAGAGCACAGAAGGAAAAAATTCATTTTAATTAGGTTGAGTTTGTCCAAGTCTTTTGTTGATGTGTAGATTTGGATGAAGTTGGTGTGATCAGATATTTTTTGAGGTGGCTTTGGACAAGATTGACATATATATCTTTTTATGAATAGCAGATTTTAGAAAACATTTTGATAGATGAGATTTTTATTGACTAAA